GTGCCCTCAAGACGCCATTGTTTTCGGTCTTCAATTCCTCACAGGTCACGTGGTACAGTTCCCGTTCTATAAGTGTAGAATTCTGCGGTCTGGACACACATCTGCCCCATTGTTGGAAGTCCAACGGGTTCAGGCTGGGATTGTGTGAAGCTCAGGCACAAGGTATACAGCAACTTTTGTTGAAGTGATTCTGGTTCCACTCGATGACTAGAGCTTATACTTATAGCGTGCTCCTTCTTGCTAGAACCACCGTCATTTCCGCTCCTGAGGTCCCACATAATCTTCCCAATGATCTTCAACACCAATCAAGAATCTTCACATATTGATCTACTACCACTGTTGCTATACCATAGTCTTCAACCAGTTCGGACCAATGAGTCCTTCAGCAACCCACGCATTCTGTGTGCGCAGGTTGCGGTCAACGACGTTGTCTGGTCTTTCTGGACTCCAGTGAATGTCATTTCTTGTGTTCACGTCTCTGTTCAAATAAAGATAGGCTTCATCACAGAACAATTCTTTCTATGAATGAATTATCATTATCATTATCCTCAAGAAACCATAGCCACCGTTTGATCTGTTCCCTGGCGTGGGAACTGGAAATGACTTGGTATATATTATATATTAAAATGGCATGCCTTCAAATCGAGAACGTGTCATCAGAAATAATCGAAAGATAGAGTTCAACTCTCCGACGACTAACCATACCGTTCACCTTTCCTTTTGTTAGACACAGGTACACATGTCTGGCCTTTTGAAATCTACATACTTTCCAAGGATAGTGTTGTTTGATGGCAGACTACAGCCCATCCTATTGTTGGTTTTCGACGATAACATTTTGTTCTATGAGGCATGCCACATTCACTTATTATCCTATTGTGAGTCTCAAGATCTGCGCTTGTCCAGTTGCCCCTCCCCTTAACTTTACTTGTCCAAAATTGATAGCTTTCCATCTGTGACCGAGTTCCACCGTCTTTGTCGTTACGCACGTTACGTTGTTTTGTTTTTTTTTACCTCACCAATTAAAATTAAACCTGTCTTGCAAATGCGGGAGTTGAGACAGCTGCTGCAATGGTCAGGGAAGAGGACACAGTTCGATGTGATCCCGTCTGGAGCGAATAGGTGGAGAGCTCAGATGCGAGAGCGATGTGTAGCGAAAACGAACGCGTCTGTCTGTTCCCACCTCGGTGTGATCCCGTCTTGAGCTTAACATTGTACCGTTTAGTCGAGTTTACAACTTTTATGTGATCACATTCACTAGAGTGGCTGATCTTTGACGCGATGGGCAGCTCAATGATCGCAACTTTTCACTCATGGTTTGTCGGCTGTGTCCGCCCGGGTGTTTGTTCCGTAAATTATGATTTGAAATGCGGCATCTTAGCCCAACGTTGACCGTCAGAGTGAATCAGAACAGGATCTTATCGGTCACTTTTGTATAGTATAATTCCTTTTTCTTAATTAAAACCGCTGCGGATCATACACGGAGGGATCTTAGGCGGAGACTAATTTATAAGATGTAATCCACATTTTTCAACTTACTAATTTTCAAATTTGATGTCGATCGAGTTACAAATAACTGCCAAGAGCTTTTGTTTGAATTTCACAACTAGAGTCGGAACAACAGATACAGTGTATGTGTGTGTGTGTGTGTGTGTGTGTGTGT